CCCCAGGATGATTTGGGTACTGGCTTTGGGGGCTGCCTGCCCTCATCCATGATGTCCTTCCCAGGCAGTATCCCAGTGCCGTTGGGTCACCTCAGCATCTAAATCCACGGACGCCCTGTTCGCCTCTTGAAGGGGTATTTCTATTGCCAAGACCTCAGACAGGCAGGAAGGTGGGAAAAGTAGTCAGCTCCTGCCCCAGAAGCGGCGTGTCAGCCCGGATCCAGCAAAACCCACACCCGTAAAAGTGCAAAGCAGTCGCTTTGAAGCCAAAGTGCTATGGGGATTTATTGTGGGTATTTTTTTTTTTAAATCAGCTCCAAAATATCCTCGTCCCCATCGGGGAGAGCCCCTGGGACAGGTTTTTATAGCAGCTTTTCCCCAGCGTGGCTCCTCGTATCATCCCACACACGCTTCTCGTGGGGATTAGCCTTCCTCCCCCAGCATCCTCCTCCTGCAGAGATGTAGGATGAGGTGCTGCCATACTTCCCAAAGCTGAAATCTCCATTTTTGTGCCAGTCTCATGGAACAGTGAATATATATATGTACATAATCCCTTTTTTAGGACATTTCTGCAAACGACCCAGGAGCAAACCCATTCTTTCACTTGGGCGTACCCCGAGATGGAGCGACTGACAGCTCAGCCAGTGACACAGCCGTGCTCGCGGGGAGAAATTCATCCCCATGGTCCACGGGCCCAGGTGACAATGTTTTTAATGGCTGTTGGGACACCATGTTTGACAGCATCAGCTCCCTCTTGTCCTTCATCTCACCCACTTTCACCCCAAAATGCTCCAAACCTGTTGGTTGGTGTGTTCAGCACCTTCCTGACTGGAAAAAACAGGGTCCTCACCCGGACCAGCATCTTTAATCACCGAAGATGCCTGGGCAGGGAGACTCCGGTACCCTCGCTTTGCCACAGTGATCCCTTGATCCCAGCCCCACATCAAGCACCAGGAGCCGCCGTTTGAGGTTGTGCAGGACCCTGAATTCGGTGGCTGCCGCAAGTGCGATGCTCGGCACGGTCCTCGCCTGCCCCAGGGATGCGGGGATGGCCGCGTCCTCAACGAGCCGTCACCAGAACCACAAATCCAGAAAGGTATTTATGTTTGCAAATGTAATTAAAACAGACGAGCCGTGTTGAGGAACCAGAAATTAAACCCATTTCAACAGGTGCCTTCGCCCACCCAGTTACGGGGTTTGATGCACGGCCCCTCCGCGTCACCGGAGAGGGGCACGGCTGGGAGCTGCCGAAAAATCACTCGCGAGAGATGCTCAACCCGCTCGCCGACCAGCCCGGCTCCAGCAACACGCTCCCGGTCCCTCCGCCACCCCTCGCCGTCCCATCACCTCGCATTAGCGCCAGGCATCCAGGCGTCCGCTGCTTCCGTCTGTCAGACACAGCGGTAGCCGCTAAAAGCGGGTCACGCGATCGGGGGTGGGTTATTTAGGACGTCCCTCTCTGCCAGCACCCGGGAAGGGGGACCCAAGTGAGCTAAATGCCTCCTTTTTTATTTTTTTCCCCATTTTCCAAGCTGTCGCATGGCCGAAGCATCGTCCCTTTCCCGCTCCCGGGTAGCACTCACCTCTCCTGGAGGGACACGGGAAGGCTGGGCTCGGGGCTGGCAGCCGTGCAGCTCTCGGGGGTGTTGGCGGGAGGGCTGAGCAGGCAGCGGCTGGGCATTTCCATGTGGTGACAGCACCGCAGGTCCCACGCGGTGGCTGGAGACCACCGGACTGAGGCCAGCACCGCGTCGTGCACCTCGGCGTTTGGCCGCTCTGTGGGTCCCCTGTGCTTTCCTGCCGTCATTTCTGCCATCTAGAGGGGATGTTTCCCCACTGCAAACACGTCCCTCAAACCACAGCGAAACCCCATGATTCAGAAAACAATCGGGGTCGGTCACTTGCTGCTGCAGGAAGCGCCCAGTCGCGGCGGTTCACACCGTCAGGGAGGGGAGAGCCGGATGCCATGAAGAGGGTACAGCCCAGAAAATTTTGGGGGGTGCGTTTTCCTGGTGGTTTAACCAAAAGGAGAACCTCGCGGCATGAAACTCAAGACAACAGAAAGGATTTTGGGGTCTAATCCATGAAAGATACATTTAAAACAGCCCAAGAGAGGTAAATGATCAAAATAAGCATCAAACCCTCCTTCTGAACACAAGTGGAGTATTAAAAGGGTTGCCCAAGGTTCAGTTCCGCTTGCTGCTATCCCAACCGTGGAGGATGGAGCTTAGTAAATCAGGAAGTGGACAAACAGGGAATGTGTGCTGGAGCAGAGCAGCTGGGTAAACTGGAGAGATGGGATACGAAGAGGATGAAACCTGAGAGCTGAGTGTCGGGTACAAACCTCCTCTGGCAAGACACAGGTTTGGTGAGGATCTGATCCCAGCCTGGCATCGCAGTCCAGCCATTCGTGGTCTGCACAACGCCAGCTTGATCTAGGGAGGAGGGGCTCGCCCTTTCTCAAGGATCAAACCCAAACTGCCTGTGTCCTCCAGGACAAGAGGCTCTGGGAGAAGTGACCCAGCGAGCAACCGTTCCTTCCCAGCAGCCCCAAATCCCGGTTAATCACCTGGAAGCTTTTCTCTCTCCCACGCTTACCTCCGGTGCAGGATGGGTGCTCTGAGTACAGGGGTGCAGTGAGGAACCAACCCCTCCGAGGCTCAGGATATGACCTGCTGGAGGGACCAAAGGGCTCAGAAGTTACGTGACAGCATCAACGTTAAGGCTGAAGGAACCCTCCCAGCCAGGCAAAGCTCTCCACGTCTCAAGCCAGAGACCAGTTCAAACGGCTAGATCAAATAATTCTCTCCTAGGAAATGGGATTGATTGCTGCCCTCAAAGATGTCATCCAAAAAGGCTGCAGAGCTTGGACAGGAAATCTTTTCTCCCCCGGGTTGTATAAGAGCATCTAAAAATCTACCTAAACTCAAGCAGAAAAACAAGTACATGTGAATTACAAGCTGCTGTCAGGATGGCAGAGAGAAGGAGAAGCTCACAGTACCTTTTCCCCTAGAAAAAAGGGCAGCAGATAGGTCACATCCTGCAACCATTCCCTTCTCCTCTCGGCTTATTAAACAAACCCATCTGTTCAGAAGGGCTGTGGCCAGAGCCATCGAGCCACGCTGATGTGCTGCTCTGTCCCGGCCCCACGCCGCGACAACAAAACACGGCAGAGGCTGAGGGCGGCAGGCACGGACGACAGGAAGCGCCTGGAGGAGCTGTAGTCAGATCGGCAAGGAGAGCAGGAACCAGCGGCAGCAGGATGCCATCCCTTGTGACATCAGGTGCCAGTAAAGGCGGGAGCCTCTCTGTCTGCAGGTGGAAGCGGGGGGCACATCAACCTAAGTAGCCCCCCCGTTCTCAAGTGGCAGTCCTGGGCACAAGTACCTCCACAAACAAATACTGCAGCGGGATTCTACGCCAGGCCCCGGGGCCACGACCGCTCCGCCAGCTCCTCAACAACCTCGCAGAACAGCTCTGCCCTTGGGCAGCGCAGGCCGGGCGCTCGCTTCCGCAGCGTCCGCCCGAGGTACAAACCTGGGAGAGCCCACGCCGAGCGCGTGGCGAAGAGAAACACAAGCCGTACCGCGTTTCGTTTTCTTTCCTTTTAATAGAAACATCCTAGGGTAACTTGGGAGGAAGATCAGCCTAAAGGGAATGTCTCTCGGAATAAAACGGTGTGGTGTGCTTCGGGAATGAGGTACAAAGTTAAAAAGTCCAAGCGGGCTCAGGACTTCCTGGATTCTTGGGTCTTCTTGATTTCCTGCAAGGAGACCAGGAAAACAACTTTGGGAACAATTCACAGTATCGCAGCGCTGGAGACCACGAGCGATCGTCTCCACTGCACCGAGCCCAGAGTACACACACACCTTTAGGGACAAGGAAAGGTTTAACTTAGAGGCCCTTCAAAAATAGCACACGCCTTCCATACTGTCCAGGGATGTGCAGCTATTTTGCCCCTAACTCAGTACTGTACTGGATCCATTCCCCACTCTTAGCTCACTGATCCATCCTCACTCCTACGGGATCTGTGCTCAACCATGTCAGCAGCTCAAAATACACCAAGTGTGGGCGTGAGGCGGCTGCCTACAGACCGACCCTCATCCTGCCTGCTCGGGAGTGAGGCAGAAACGCCCCGAACAACTCACCTCCAGGAGGATCTCCTTCAATTCGGAATAGGCTTTTTCTAAATCATCGTTAATAATGACCAGGTCAAACAGGCCAGGCTCTTTACCTAGGGAAGGAGATGAGGAGAGAGGCGTTAGTGGCGAACATGTTCCTTCCCTGTGTCGTCCCTTGTGCATGACTGGAGTTCCTGTGGCATCTGATTGTTTCAGGCACCGCTAATGCGCTGCTCTGCCAAGCGCCCTCGAGGAACTGCAGTGGGAAACGACGCCGTACGGTGCTCCGAGCCCCGCCAGCGCTCCTCGGAGAACATGAGTCGGGTGGGGATGCAAAACACAGCTCCCAGATCCCCAATGCACCCCCTTTCCCGGGCACGTCACTCGAAGGTGAACTCACTAAGTTCCAAATCCACGCGGGCTGCGGTCAAACGCTTCAGTAAACTTTCTTCTGTCTCGGTCTGTCGGTCACGTAGTCTTTTTTCCTAAAACCCACAACAAAGACATTAGAAATGTGTGTTCCAAATGCAGAAACCACCCTGTCCCCACCCCCCAAGCCAGTGCTCTCTGCCATTCGCTACCGCCGGTGACCACGGTGACATAACACCCTGCAAAGGGTGAGGGGCCTTATTTACAGCCCAGAGCAAATGAGTGGCCAGGCCGGGTTTGGGGTCAAGATCTCCTACCCAGTCTCTTCTATCCCCCCACCCCATATATCATGGGGTTTTTTTCCAGGTACAGCTGAGAGACGGAATCTCTCTGCTGGGCTCTGGCACCTGGTGCCATTGGCTTCCTCCTCGACAAACTCAATGATAAACACAGACTGCCCGAGATGCTGAGAGCAAGAGCGGGGAGTTTCTCTGCCACGTACTCCTTGCATGGCTTCAGCAAGTCACACGTATGCGTCTGTGTCCCTCTCTGAACCACGACAGTGAGTCTGCGTCTCCCAGGGGCACGCTGCGATCACTGAGTCCCATACAACCAGAGGGCTACAGATTTCTGGTGCTACAGAGAACCAACCTCCCTTGCGTTAACTTTCATAGCTGGAGGTAAGTCTCAACACAAAAATCTCCTTTCTCTCCCCAGCTTAAGCACAATTAATGCCTTTAAACGCCGATCACACGGCGAGGGAGTTTATGACCCAACGCAGGCAAACAGGCTGAGGTGTGGAAACTGTACAGGAGGGACTCAGAAATCAGGACACAGGAAGATTTATCCCTGGGAGCCAGAGGCTGGGGAGTTAGACTGGGGAGAGGTAACAGCACGCTCATAAATGTCCTCCCCACTTATTCTACAGCCCTTAAAAAACATACAGATGAGGGAACCCCCATCGCTTCAGAGCAAGAGCTGATTACCTCTAGCTGCCTAACAGCAAAGGAAGGCGGTGGCTCACCAAGATGTCTATGGATGGCGGCTGCACGGAGATGTAGATGGGGTTGAGGTCTGTCCTCTTGATGTTCTTCACGCCCTGGATGTCGATGTCAAGGACACAGATCTGGTTCTGAGCCTGAACAGCCTGCACTGCACCTTTACTGGGGACAGAACAAAGAGGGAAGGGGTCAGAGCACACAGTCAGAGCAGTGGGGGTTTGGTGTGTCCCCCTCCAGCAGCAGCTCTTCACCTCACAGGGCTACCCTATGCCCAAACTGCAGCAGAAGAGAGAACCTGCTCTGCTCTTGCTAAACAGTTTCTCTTTCCCAGGCATCCTCTGGGTCCCTGGAGAGGAGCAGGGACCTGCTGTCTCCTACTAGAGATGCTGGCAAAGCCACAATGGAAGGTGGGTAACGTGTGACTATCCCATAAGCGGTGTAGCCGGGGCACAGTCCGTGAAGCTCCTGCCTTCAACAAGCACAGGAGCGACCTTCACCGAAGAGCAAAACCATTGAGAACTTTCCTTCCTCAGAGACCCAGCCATTTCCATGCCCACACGTTCTCCTGAAGGATGCCCGATGGAGATGGATGCTCCTGCCTGGGTCGCACGACGCACAGCTGGGAAAATATTTTGGAAGTGGCAGCTCTCAGTATCTCTTCCCCAGCATGGGGGAATTGCCTGGGGCTTGATCCGGAGCACCTACAATTCTCCCTTGAAAAGCACCCACGCCAACCCTCTCACTGGAGGTACCTGGACTAGTTACCAGGTAGCAGTCCTCTTGGGAGACTTTTCAGTCAGTATTTGCCGTGCTGGGAACAGGTTGTCCTTCAAGCCAGGGCTTCGTGGCATGAGGCACAGTGTGGAGAGAAGCCCTGGCAGGAGCGCAGAGGTGGTGCTGCAGCTTTTGAGGTCGTGCATTCAGGTCATGCAATGGCAAGAGACAATGCTGCCCTACAGCCAGCTTCCGATTTGTTTCCCTGCCCATACCCAGCGCACAGCTTTGGACCCCAACCCATCACCCTGCACCACCAAGGTTTGGTCCCTGATGCCTTCCGCAAAGAAGGCTCCCTTAAACAAATGCTTCTGTGTTGTCCGACACCCCAGGAACGGGAAGTCACAGCTCTAAGGGAACAGGATTCAGGACACCCAGCCCTCCCCACCAGCCCCGCTCCTGCCTGTGCCAGCTGGGGAAGACTGGGTCCTCACCAGCCCCGAGGGAAAGCACCCATGGGTGTCACGCAGCAGCTGCTGACGGCCACAGCTCTGCTGTTGGTGGGGTGCGAGCGGAGATGTGAGAGCTCAGGTGAGTCCTGGAGCCACGGGTACCGCAGTTTCGCAACAGCTCTCTTCAAACGGAGCTGGGAAGGATGGAGGCGGCGCTGGCAAACAGGGAGCAGAGCTGAGATGGGGAAAGGTGTAAAGGCTTCTGGGAGCCTGCGAGCCCAGAAGAGCCCTGGGGACCAGAGGAGCAATGGAGCACCCCAACACGGCGGCGCTGTGAGCTCCTCACGCCGGAGAGGGGGAAGAGCAGCCCTCCTCACGCTGGAGAGGGGGAAGAGCAGCCATGGGGTCCCGCAGCTGGCCTGGTCTAGTGCCTGCAGAGACACCACTGTGACGGGTCACGCGGGAGGACGGAGGCAGCCGGTGACTTTGCTCCTGACCTGGGAGTCCCACAACACAGCTCACAAACCCCAACAGGAAGGAGAAAGCTGAAGCAAAGCCGCGAGACCAGCACCGTGCCCTGTCCAGAGCTTTGCTGCCTTGCCTGGGTGGGCAGCAGCCAGCACCCAGGTCTGAGCCCCATCCCCTGCGAAACCACAAAACCTCCCCAGACCAGCTTGGTTTGCCATATGAAAGCCGCAGGCTTCACCTGGTATCACCAGGGATAAACTAACTCCCACTACAACTGATCTGCAAGGAGCCAGCAGCTCTCAGAGCCCCGAGAAAGAGACCTGTGCCTGCACACCTGATTCCAGACTCTAATTTAAGGCAGCTTCAAAGAAATTCTCATTTGTGTGGGCAGGACTCAGGGCGATACCACAGACAGGGCCCTTTCAGGGCGCTAAATTTAAGCAATTAATTTTTAGTTATTCACTATTATTAGCTGATGAGCATGAGGGACACTCTCCATTTTATCATACATAGAATGGTTTGGGTTGGAAGGGACCTTAAAGATCATCCAGTTCCAACCCCCCCTGCCATGGGCAGGGACACCTTCCACTAGACCAGGTTGCTCCAAGCCTCATCCAGCCTGGCCTTGAACACTTCCAGGGATGGGGCATCCACAGCTTCTCTGGGCATCTGATGAGAAACATCCTTAGGCACTTGTAGAGGAAACACTGGCTTGGAGAGTTTCTGTATTTGTTTTGCTTGAAAACTGGTCGTTATTGAAGAGAGGATTTGGGTTCATTTAGCCTCCCACCCTGCACGCCCACCACCACAGGCAGCACGAATATGCAGGGGGGACTGAAGATGAAAAGGGCCAGGGAGAAAAGCACCTCAAAAACAAACCCAAGCACGTAATTTCATTTGGTACAAGTATTGAATTCCTGCAAATTACAAAGGAATGGGCTGAGATGTCTTCTCAGTTCCCACCCTGAAGAAAAGGCATCAAAATCAACTCCACCTACGTATTAGGCACCAGAGAGCAGCTGTCTCCTCCACGCTGTGGCTGGATTAAGCAGGACACACGTGAAGGAAGGAAGCCTGTCCCACGCAGGATGAAGCCAGGGATTAAGGAGCTTGACCTTGGCTTCTCCTCGGTGCTGGGTATTTGGACGATGAGCTGTCAGGTTTTGCTTCTCTCGCCAAACCAGCGACACTGGAAGTAGCAAGGCCAGGGCAGGGGATTGTGCTCCTCTCCCAGCCTCAGAGGGAGCACAGCCAGAACCTCGGTGACAGCAGTGACGCCCGCACGTGTCACCCTGAAACGGCTACGTTACTGAAACCCAATGCCACCAAGCATTCCCTCGGAGCTGCACACCTACAGCATGTTCCGTCGGGGGGGCCTTACGTTGGCACCTCCCAGAAGGAAACCAACCTCAGAAGGAAACTTTGCCACCTCCACAAAATCCTGAAAAAAGCACAGCCAGCTCTTTAAGAAATTTCAGTCTTCCTGAAAAGCGTTTCAGGTCTTCAATCCAACTCATTAAATATCCCAACGAACATTTAACTTTCCTCCTTAGCAGGTCCTTCACTACAGCGCCACAATTTTCTCACAATAATTATATAAGATATCTGACTTCTAATTAACATTGCAGCTTAATGTTTTATTGATCACCAGCTCTGTGCCAAGGGCAATGCTATTTTAAAATCCACCTAACTCTTTAACCCTGGTCACAGGGTGCCATGCAATTTATCCCTTCTAAGCAGCCACTTTACCAAAGCAGCATGCACAGCCAACACAGATACCGCTCCTGCTCCTGAATTCATCGCTTTCAGCCCATTAGGTAACGCAGGGATAAGGAGGGGAAGTCTCCGCTCTGCCCACTACACTCTGCAAACACATGGAAAGTATCACAGAGCATAAACAGTCGTATCGTAGAACAGTTTGGGTTGGAAGGGACCTTAAAGCCCATTCAGCCCACCCCCTGCCATGGGCAGGGACACCTTCCACTAGACCAGGTTGCTCCAAGCCCCATCCAGCCTGGCCTTGGACACTTCCAGGGATGGAGCATCCCCCCCTCCCCAGCTTTCTTCTTGGGCCCCTTCAGGCACTGGAAGGTACTATAAGGTCTCCCTGGAGCCTTCTCTTCTCCAGGCTGAACAAGCCCAATTGAGGTGGGGTCTCACCAGAGCAGAGCACCGGGGCAGAATCCCCTCCCTCGACCTACTGGCCACGCTGCTCTGGATACAGCCCAGGATATGGTTGGCTTTCCAGGCTGCCACAGCGCACACTGCTGGCTGTCCATGAAAACTACCCCTTCTTCTGCGCAAGAAAAGCAGCTATTTCAGCATCCCTCAAACACTGGTGGCTAGAGAATCTCACAACATAACAATGATTTAATTATTACAAGCTGACCCTCTGCAAGAGTTAATTTTGCAGTCTGAATAAAGCTGACAAGGACCCCGCTATCTCGATGAAAGGCTCTGCTTATGGCAAGAACCTGTGTGTTTGGGAGAAAACAGAGTTGCTAATTTCAACTATTTTTTCCTGCACCATCACCTCAGTTCCTGGCACTGCCTGGGCTCAGCAGCGACAGCGTCTCGGCTGCATACCTCGTCCCGTACATATTTCCGGAGAACTCTGCGTGCTCGATGAATTCACCAGCATCGATTTCTTTCTGCATTTCCTCTCGGGTCACAAAGTGGTAATCTGGATAGGGAAAAGAGGAAAAATAGTCAGAAATTAACAGCTTCGAAGGTAAAGTTGATGGTTAAAATGACACCCGTGGGGGCTTAGGGGAGAAACAACTTAAAATCTGCTTTGGACAAGGCTGGCAGACTGCAGGTATCTACATCCTAATTACTGTACACAGCATCCCCTCCCCACACCAACTGCCCAGGCACCTGCTCAAAGTGTTTTGGAGCTTTCTGTGTGGTCAAAAATGCTGCTGTACCCCCCTTTTCATATCCTTTCCCCTTTCTGGTGCAGTGGGAACGTCCCCCCTCCTCTCCAGACATGTGGACTCACACAGGACTGACAAGGCTGTTAATTTGAAAGCACTTATAATTAAAGACTAGAATGGACAAGAGGGGGTGGGGGGTGAGGTAAAAGGGAACATCAGAATCAAAAGAACTAAAAAGGAATGTTTCTTCATCTTCAGTTAAATTTCCCCCCTTTCACTTCGGAAATAAAATGCCATCGGAAG